GTGACATGCAGATGCACATCAGCAGCCCGTCAGAGCGGGCAGCGGGGGCTGGAGGGGGTTGTAGAGCTGCCTCGGGGACAGGCCAACTATTTTATGAGTAATTTAATATCTGGAACACAGACTTTTCATTCCCAGAGATCTGCTGGGGAAAGAAAGAGCCTTTCTGCAGCCCCGCAAAAGGCTGTTCCTCATAAGGAGGCAGAGCAGAAAAAAAAAAAAAAAAAAGGGCTGTGACTTAACCCCTTGGTGGCCAGCTCAGCGCAGAGCCTCAGCAGCTCCCAGTCCTTGCAGAGGGGCCAGGAAAAGCAGGAATTCCCTGTGCAGCTCAAAGTGGGAGACAAGCCAGTCTGTGTTGCTCCAGGCAAAAGGAGTAATCGCTCCTTCCCATTCAAATTCAAATCCAAGCCTGAGTGAGGATGGGGGAAACAAATTTATCAGAAGCCCTGAAGTTAGATTTGGGATAGAAGGTGTGGTCCGAACTCCCTTCCCTGTCTCAGACTAATGCCTGCTGTATCAAATTCCACACCAATCACACTGAGGCTGCAACCAGTCCCATGCTCCAGTGGAGCCAGTGCACCCAGGGGATCCATGTGGGGAGCTCCTGACAGGAGGACAGTGAAGCAGCCATGTGTGGCCTCAGTTTCCACCTGACCTGAGTAGGTCTTGCTGTGTCGCACTGGTGTCTGCCACCCTCACAGCCAGCACAGCCCAGTGCACTGCCCCAGTAACACCTCTGCCCAGAGCATGCCAGCATTATAGCACAGCGCTGAACCCATGCAGGGCTTCCTGTACACCTCCTGCTCGATATTACCGTTTGAGGAAGGGGAGAGGAGGAAGAACATTGAAAAATGCAACATCTCACTACACAGCAGTGCTCAAGGGCAGCGAAGAAGGCTGGAGAGCAGCCACCAGCTTGGCAGCAGCAACTGCACCTTGGTGCTGCAAGGCTGAAGGGAAGAAACACTCATGGGCTGTTCAGGAGGGAGCTGCTGGTGAGTGAAAGCATCCCTGGGTCTAGGAGCAATGTCATGAGCTATGTGGGAGAACGGCTATTAGGCAGAGTTTGCATGGGAGGGTACACTATGTAGCCTCTAGAAGACCCTGCCGCGAAGGGTGGCTGTGACTCTATGATGTTGCCTGGAAGGAGGCCAGCTGAGGGTGGTTTAGGAAGGGCTCTGCCCTGGGTAGCAGGTACTGGGAACTGACTGCACTCAGTACAAACAGATCAACACCTTTGCAAGTACCACAGTGTTTGCTAGTGAGGACCAGACCACGGGACCAGCATCCCTGGCTCAATCTTACTGATAAACAGCACAATCGTGCTTTGATCTCTCCAGTTCAGCTTCACTTTCCATGAATATTGATAGGCACTTAGCATGTTCTACCACATCAGATCCTGCCAGAGTCCTGCTTATGCCTGGACTGGAGCTTCAGCACAGAGAAAACTGCCAAAACCTCAGCCAGATGATGCAGGGGAAACCTCCATATGTTATTCTTGCTGATCCCTGTTGCCATGTGCCTTGAAATGGGAAGATTTTATTTTAAAATCCTGACAGCTCTCTACCACTCTCTACCAGTGTCTTTGCACAGCAGTGGATTTGCTGCAGCTGAGCTTTGCACCAAACCCGTGCCTGGTTGGAGGGGCTCCCAAGAAAGTGACCTTCCCACCTACTGCTTTTTGGTGTCACTGGACATCTTCATCTGGTACACTGGGTGACATGGCTGAGCTCCTGGTTAGCTCTCTGTCCCACTCAGCTCACCGAGTCCGTATGACCTCCAGCACTGAGAGCAAAACACCCCATAGCTGCTTACCTGCAACTTGGTAAAACACTTACAAACCTAAAACTCCTGGTCTGAAGTCACCTCAAAACACCGTCCGCCTCAACTTCTACCAGAGCATCCCAGACCTTGGTGGAGGCCTGATTCCACAGACAAGGGTCACAGCACCACCTGGTGAAGCTCTGTGGCTTAGCTCTGGCTTGACCAGAACGAAGTATTGCTGATCCAGTTTCACCTGTGGTATCATTAAAATAAAAAGAAAATTCAAAAGGGAGAGAAGGGGAGCAGCCCACGTGTGTCATAGCGGAACTGCAGAGAGCATGCACAGAGCAGAGTGAGCATGTACAGAGTGGGGTGAGTGCGTGGTGCACGGTGCAAGCATGCACAACACGGTGTGGATGACCACAAGGGCAGCACCCATAGAGAGCACACACACAGCACAGGACAGCTGCCAGGTCCCGGGTGAGAACAAAAACCTCCAAATCTATCCAGTGGGTGCAGATGTAGCCAGGTTAAAGTTTGCTGGGTGACAAGGCAACCTCACCACCAGGCCTGCATGTGACCCTGCAACAGGTTTCTCTCCAACTCTTCTGTTAATGATTGTGTTGTTCCGAGATTGCTTTGTTTTGCATGGAATAATTAATTAGGTAGTGCAATGCAAGGTGTGAGTGCAGGGCTGTGGCAGTCCTGCCTTCCCTGGGTAATGTCAAGCAGGCAGCATGTGGCTGGCAGTGCAGCACCAGCTACCCAGATCAGTTTTAATTTTTCTTGTTGTGGCCCTGAGCACCACTGAGGACCTTGCACAGGCTCCTGCCATGGATGGTCCCGTGGGAGGGGGCATCTGCCTTTTGGCTCTGGCCTCAGAGAGCGATATAATAGCTTGAGGGGAGGGCTCCTCTCCAGCTGCCCTGGGGTGGGGCCTGGGGCTTCAGGGCTTCCTGCAGGGTCAGTAACACACTGCCTGCAGGGAGCTGCCCTGGAAGAACTGAACGGTGATGTTGCATGGACCACCACCCACCCCAGCTGTACATGGCCATCTGGCCCCCTTTTCTCATCCACCTTGGATACCTGAGGGGTCTGCTGCTCCATGGCTCACGCAGTGATAGCTTCAGGGGAGCAGACAGCTGCCATCTCATGGAGCTGTTGCCTGAGGTGGCATTGCTGGGTGCTGGCTGAAGCCCACTAGAGGAATCAATGCCCTGTGCACCTCTGTTTTCCAGCTGTGTAGGCACAGTGAGCTGCACTTTAGAGACAGCTGGTACCTGCACTGCCCTCTAGTTCTCTCTAGGTACATCCAGGACCCTAGAAACCCTTTGGCCTGTGCTGGTGTTAGGTCAGACATTAGTTTTAAAAATAAAAGCAGGTCTAGTCCAGAGGAGTCCTGACAAAGACCTTTTCAAAAGTCAAATTTATTATAGCAATTACTCAGAAGCTTCAACTTGCTTTTGACCAGCATCCCAGACTCCTTCCTGCAGAGCTTCCTCCTGACCCCCACCTGTCCTATTTCATGGGGTTATCCCATGCCAGAGGAAGGGCTTTACATTTATCTCCATTAAATGTCAATAGGTTCCTGCCAGCTTATTTCTCCATCCTGTCAAGGCTCTTTGAATAGCAGCCATGTCCTCCAGTGTATTGACTACTCCTTGATTTGGTGTCTCCTGTGGACCTGCTCCTGTTCAGGAGACTTAGCTGGTGTATGCTTCCCAGCCTCTGTTTTGGGGGTCAAACACTTACTCTTTTCCTCCACCTGCCCTGCTGACCTGATTTTATTTGGGATGCTGTGTCTCCAGCTGCAAAATGCCAAGAGCACTGCAGCTGCATTCTAAAAGCAGCCCAGTGCTCCTCCACAGGGAGAGCTTTGGGATGCAATACTGAACATCTCTGCCCCAAATTTCTGATATGAGGTAGAGTTCTGGGGACACGGGGTGGCTGCACCCCTGGGGACAGAAGCAACAGATTTTGCTGGGGGAAGGACAAAGTAGCGAGGGGACAAGGACGAGGCATTAATCCAGGGCTGCAAGAGGCGGCACTAATCCTGTCTGGTGCCTCCTCCCAGACCTTACAGGCAAGGCAGAGCTGAGTCTCACATTTCTGCCTAGTCCCTGCAAACTTTGGCCCCCCCCAGCCAGTGGGACAAGGATGGTTAGGTGGGGGCTGATCCAGTCTCCAGTGCCATCTGCTGGCAAATCATCTCGGTCAGAAACTGGAGCCTTCAATCTGGCCGCACGGATGCAGCCGCTGTCCTGCGCTGGGGCAGGCAAACCTGTGCAGCCCAGAGCTGTGGAGCTCTGGACCCACAAGCAAGCGCCGAGAGCTTAGTGACGATGCTCCATAAAAGCCAGCCCCACATCCTACCTCTCCCTCTCTGTCCCCAAGAGTCTTTATCATCATCCTCTTCACCCAGCCCCTTTCAAATCTCAGACCCCCTTTCAAATTCTCCTCTTCTACGTCCCAAGTGCCCCCTGTACACCCCCATGGGATTCACAGCCCCCAGCTGCCACAGCTGGACTGGGGGCTGCAGGAAACCCACCCACCAGGTACAGTGCTTCACTGTCACTTGCCCCAGGGGCAGGGACATCCCTGGCGCCTTCAGCTCTTATTCATCTGGAGGTCCTTGGGTCCATCAGATCTACCATTAATAAAGATATCTCTGAGAGGGCTTGGCAGGTGCTATAGGACTTGCACGTGTTGGGGTTATGGGGCTGCTCTGGGCCTTGACCAGCTGCACCAGGGGATAGCTGTGTGCCCCACACCTCTTCCATCATGGCATCAAACTCTGGTTTCCCCACATACACCTGGCTCATCTTGTCACAAGCTTTGACAAACTTCTGTGGCTATTCTTGTCATCACCACCACAAGAAAAGAGTGAGAGGTTGGTGTCACCAGATCCTACCAGCCTGAGGACTCTCCAGTACAGCATCTCCCTATCTACCACCAATAACCAGTGGCCTCACTTTTCCCACTATGTCATGCGTCCTACCCACTGCTAGAGAGCAGGCTTCCTCTCTGTGTTTTCCTAACCCTGGGCTGGGACCTTCTCTGTGTGGCTCTGGAAGGGAATACTCAGCATGGTCTGCAGCAGGAACTGCGTGAATTGTCTGGCTCTGCTCAGCAGCAGTGAGATGTTAATGAACCTAGGCTGCACCCAGGGGTGCGGGAGGCAATGCCCTGGGATCTGAGCATTATTTGTGCGGTAAAGAGGCAAATCCTAGGCAGGAAGGGACCAGCAACACAGGGAGCTGTCATTTAATATGCAAGACCGGCAGCAGTGCACTTAGGGTGCCAAATCTGGAGTGAAGTCATTTCCAGGGGAGTCCTCAGCCCTGCAGGGACCAGCCAACATCAGGAGGGCTGCAAGAACCTTAAAGGGGCTAAACCTCGGGGAAGATGAGGAACCCGGAGAATACTGCTGTCGGACCCTTCGATCCCCACCAAAGAGTTCTTCTCTGTTGGCTCCAGCCAGACAGACTCATTCGCTGCCATCTTGAGAACCACACCACCCGTGGTGACCTGGTAGCTGCTGTGCACGTAGTCACAGAAGGTCACCACCTTCTCGCCTCTGCTGCCACCCCGGCCCCTTTTCACGTTGAGGCAAAGGTTGCCCCTGGAGGTGACATGGTAGGTGAAGTAGTAGATGCCTGGGACCCGGCAGATGAAGCGCCCGTACCGGTTCTCATAGTGGCCCTTCTCGTTGGTGATGATGCGGTCAAAGCGGATGGGCTGCTCCCGGCGTGGGTAGGAGCTAATGCTCCTAGCAGCAGAGAAGGCAGACTTGAGAGTGGCCTTGTAGTCACCAGAGTCCCCATGAGGGCCTGGGAGTCCTATGGGACCTGGCAATCCCCTTGAGCCCGGGGGGCCCTTGGGGCCGATCTTCCCAGGGTACCCCGGAATTCCTGGGTCTCCCTTCTCCCCCATGTCTCCTTCATACTCCACCTGGCCAGGAGGACCTGGAAAGCAGGAGGAAGAGTCACTGTGGTTGCATCTGAGCCTCATGGGTCTGCAGAGAGGGCACTGGGAAGGAAACAGCTGGTACCTGCACTGGGGTGCAAGCCAACAGGAACCCCTGCCCGTCTGGTAGGTGTGTCACCCGTTGTTCTCATGCACCCTCCCTCCCCAGGTTCCTTGGTCTGGCCAACCCCTTTTGGCCCTGAGCATTGCCCTCACCTGCTAACACCCCAAAGAGACTAGAGGAAAATGGATTGCATTCCTGTGATCATGGCCTGGCCTTGTCTTTTCCTGCTCTTGGCATTGACAATACAATGTTTTCCCCACCTGCAGCCTCCTACTTACCTTGTTCACCCTTTAGGCCATTCTCCCCATCTCTGCCGTTGGTGCCAGGCTGTCCTGGTGACCCTGGGATGCCTGGGATGGTGCCATAGGTCTTGCAGCGTGTGGCACTTGCAAACTGCCCTCCAGACAGGCAGATCAGCATCACCCACACAGTCTGCATCTGCTGGAGCACAGAAGGATGTTGAGAGGCTTGTTTTGGGCAGTGGGAGAAATGGGGAAGGCACTCTGCTGCTCTGGAGGACAATGACTAGAAGCACATCTGGGTAATATCATCAGAGGGAAAACATCCTGCTGCTGACCCAAATCTGCTCTCCTGATGGCCTTGGAGGGACCAGCCCTTTTGGGCATGGGAGAGCTTGTAAGTCTCTTCTCACTCTTAAATTACCAGTTTACAAGTGACCACAGCTTCAGCCACATGAATATCTGGGGACAGGTTAGCCTGTCCCGGAGGTCTGATGTCCAGCCCGGCCATGCTGCTGCCACAGGCATGTGCTGCAGGTCCCTACTGCTCTGAGTTCCCACTAGTCCCTCAGAGGAGAAATGCTCCATCCCATTTTAGGACCACACTTGCAGGGTAAAATCTTTCCCCAGTCCAGAGCAGTTTCATCATCTGCAAGGGGATAGCTCTTGCTTTCCACCACCATATCTGAGTGACAGATTTAGTCCTTGTAGATGTCAATGTAATCCCCAAACCCGCCCTCCTAAACCCCATGGATTCCCGTTGAGTCCTGCTGCATGCATGCTTTATCCCACGAGCATTTCTGTATCTGACCAGCCTTACTGGGGCAGTTATCTGGGCTTCCAGTCCTTGGGGTCTCATCTTCCCTTTCCGCCCTTCCTGCATCCCACAACTCAGGTCCTTCCCCCAGATCCTGGTACAGCTGCATGTGTGGCAAGCGCTGGGAATTTGGGGGCTGTATCTGGACATCACATCACCCCAGCCACACTCTCTGGCCTCAGGTGGACTTGCCCAGCACTGAAATTCTGGTGTCAGCAGGAAAAGAGGTCAGTGGGTTGGATCCTTCAGCCACAGCAGCTCCGATTCAGATGTGGCAGGTACAAGGACTGATCTGCTCCCAGCCCAGGTCCAGGAAGACAACAAGAGCATCTTGAGGCAGGAAAACACCCCCAGGGCACCTTTCAGACTGATGCTCAGTCCCTGATCACCTCTCTGGGCCTTTGCCATCTCCCATTTCCATCTTCCCCTTCCCCATTGGAGCAGGAGGGGCTGGGGTCCCATCAGGGACCTCCACAACCCCCAGCCCAACAGCCTCCTTTCTTTTCTGCCCCAAGCCACAGCGAAATATCAGTGATGCAGAGGGTGACTGTCACCCTGGTGCTGCTGGGATCCCCAAGTGTTTCTATCTGCAGGGGGAACCTGGGACTAAGCCTTGCCAACGTTTTGCACTTACCTTGGACTTCTTGCTGCACGGATGGGGAGATGGAACAGGATACACCAGCGTCCTGTTTGGAAATGACCATGAGGAGAAGCAGAAGTTTGCCTTAAGGTTATTGTGAAAGAATCTGGGCCACATCCCTTTTTATCTTTAGCTTCTACCCTTTCTTCTGTGGCACTTTCGTATCTGCCACGAACGCTGTCTGTCAGCTCAGCAGAACATGCCGTCCCCAAATAACACCCTGGGTCCCCCCAGGCATACAGCTCTGGCCCCAGGGAGACGAGAGATGTCTGCTCTGCCCTGCAGGGTCCCTGGGTCCTGCCCAGGTGTGCTTGCTATGGGGAACACTACCATGAGCTCCAGACAAGTTTGGGGTAACCCCTTAGGACTGCAGAAATGTGCATGCATTTATCTAGCGTCCCTCAGGCTTCTCTGCACATACCCACCTCTGTTGGGATGTACTGGCAGGCCCAGAGGATGCTACAGGGTTTCAGCATCCATAACCTTGAATCAGTCCCCCAGCCTCTCCTCAATGTTGCGGGTGGGAAGTGATTTCACTCTGTGGTAACAGCATTTACAGTCCTGCTTTCTGCTGATGTCTTGTGGAGGTGCAGCACAGGACGTTCAGAGGATATTACCTCCTTTTCTACTGTAAAATGTGTGCCACCAGGAGAAATCTCTGTTGGGTTTTGGTGGGCTTTGTAACCTCCACAGCCACGAGCCAGCTTGGTCTGGCTCAGGGAAGCCAGTGCTTCCCCTGCCCTGTCCCTGGTGAGGCTGGGACTCTGGGGATGTCCCAGTCACTGGAAGCATTGCTATAAGGTTTGCTGTGTGGTCTGTGGCCCTCTGCAACTGAATTGCCTCCACTTGGAGGGGAAAGGGAGTATCAGGACCCTTGCTTGAAGGAGGCTTAGTCCCCCCCCCCTTAGGTGGGGGCTGTGTGCATGGGCACAGGAACCATCCCCTTCCTTCAGTCAGTCAGGGTTGTAAATGGTGTGTGATGCTCAATGATATTAAGCCTGGCCAAGCCAGTGAGGTCTCAGGGATGTGTGATGCCACACAGACTGCCAGATATCGTGCACACATGCACATGCACACATGCACACCACATCCATCCGGCCACACACGGGCTCCACCTGCAGAAAGGCAAGTCATGGAGGAAAAAACACACTAGGCCAGGCACAGTGGGGAAGGTTTTATTGACACTTTCCACAGGCAGGTCATGGCAAAGGTGCTCCTGCAGGACACTTGGCTGTCCCTCATGTAACCCAGGTAGGAAAGGGAGAGATGCAGAGAGATCTCTGGCTCTGGCAGCAGAAGGTAATGTGGGGTTATCAGGGCAGATACATGTAACAGTGCCAGCAGGACCCCAAGGACTTGACACCATCACTCTGGTTGCAGATGCATCCAGACATGCCTGTCCCCTCTGTTCCCAGGCCAGTGAGTTGTGTCTGGCAGTGGGGGCTGACCCCCTTGCTGAGTTTTCCCACTCAGCAGAGAAACCTGGAGCATCAGCAACAGCCTGGCAGCGAGCAGCAGTGCTTGCGGGGTGGGGCGAAGAGGTCAGCATGATGGGGTGGACTCCGGTGGTGGTCTAGTCCGAGAAGAGCAGGAACCCCGAGAAGATGCTGTCAGAGTTGCCAATGCCCACCATGCCATTGTAGTCATTCACCTCCAGCCAGACCTGGTTCTCAGCACCCAGGTGAAGGAGGATCCCACCAGAGCTCACCTGCATGGTGTTGGTCTTGTGGTCGCAGAAGCTGGCCATCTTGTTCCCATCCTTGTACAGGATGACACAGAGGTTGGCTGTCTGCGAGGTGTGGAAGATGAAGTAGTAGAGGCCGGGGATCTTGCAGGTGAACTTGCCCGTGGTGGCGCTGTAGTCATTGTTGATGTTGGTGATGATGTGGTTGAACACCACAGGGACATTCTTTAAGGGGTGCTCACTGGTTTGCCTTGTCACTGAAAATGCTGACTGGTGCTTCTGCTTGTAGCTGCCTGGCATACCTGGCTCTCCGGCCATTCCCATCATCCCAGAGTCTCCGGGGAGGCCACGGGGACCGATGGGGCCAGTCTTGCCAGGCAAGCCAGGGATGCCCGGTTCCCCTTTCATTCCCTTGGGCCCTCGTGTTGCAGAAGTGGCTGGGATGCCTGTGGGGTGGTGGGGAGTGAAAAGGAATCCGAATCAGTGGCAGGATGTGGAGAGAGGCTCCTCCAGCCCCTTCCCTCAAGCAGGAGAGGGTTGCTGCCCCTCTCCAGCCTCCTCTCCTCCTGCCCTGTCCACAGAGGATGCTCTCCACAGCCTGCAAACCAAGGCAGACCAGCCATGGAGGATTCAATGGCTCCTCCTTCAACAGCTTGCATGGTTATCCTCCTTGCTTACTCACCTGGTTCACCTTTGGCTCCCTTCAGACCATCCCGGCCATCCTTGCCGGGCACACCCGGCATGCCTGGCAGGCCTGGAGCCCCATAGCAGCTGTGAGGGGCATCTGCAGTCACAGCAGACCCTAGATCCAGGAGTAGGAGGGCGAGGACCGGATGGAGCTGCTTCCAGAAGCTCTGCCCCATTTTGGTGCTCTGGAGCATAGAAAAGGAAAGAAAGCGCTGGGGTGAGGGACCACGGCAGGGTGTCTTCCAGGCTCTGGGGCAAAGGGAGTACTGTGCTATGAGGCCAACTGCACCATGAGCACCTGACTGTGATGTCTGGGTCCTCAGTGCCCTCCTCATACCAATTACCAGGTGGTGGGGAGGCGGATATGTGGAGAGGGACTCTGGGCTCATCACCAACACCGGGGCAGCCCCTGATGGCACAAGGGTGTTTGGACTTTCAGTCTGGATGGAGCCATGAGATCTTGTGGTACCCATGGGCAGCCCAAAGCTCTCCCAGCCCGGTGTCTTGAACCCCCTGCAGATGTGTACTCCGCTGCAGACTGTTGCACCATGCTGCACTGAGGCTGGAGCTCCCCTGCACCTGGGAGATCTCACCCCTCCTCCTGGCTCCTCAGCAGCAGCCTGGTTTTCTGTCAGTCAACTGGGAATCTCCCAGGTCTGTGCCCAGCCCAGAGGACTGGGTCTTCTCCCCAGCAAGGACAAGTGTGCATCCCCCACCATGACATGTGCAGCCTGGAAGTGCCTCTGTCTCCTTCTTCTCCTCTCACATAGCCCAGCACTGTGCCATGCTGCTGGACCCCCAGTCCCCATGCACCCCACCCCAAAGAGATGGACCCTGCAGCACCTCTTACCTCTGATGGGGGGAGCAGGGTACGGGATCCAGTGCTGCTGAGCCCTCTGGCTGCTGTGGGCACTGCCTGATGGCACAGCACTGTGTGGGTGACTCTGCGTGACACCCTCCTGAAGGAAGTTGCAGAGTTAGGAAAGGGCCCTTGGGGACCCACAACCCCCGCCGAGTTTCATATCCTCCTGCCCGACTGTTCCCTCTGAGCAAGCACTTTCCTGGCTGTCCAGTGAGACCTGCTCTTATGCTACTGCAGCAGCAGGGGCTCAAGGACAGAGGTGGGATGAGCCTCTGCCAAGAGATGTGCCACAGACCCTCCAACCACCATGGGCACTAGCCCTCCACAGTTCGCCTGCCCTTCACCCATACTTAATTCCTTTATGAGCAGAAGAGCAGTGAGCAGATGCAGGGCAGAGCCTCGTGCCAGCTCCATGGAGCCAGATATGACTGTGCAACTAAGGGCTGGTGCAAAATCAATTGTCTGACTCTGAAGGGAGATGCTGCACCCCGAGGCAAAGGGACTGAAGGATGTTTCTTCTTGAGGGTTTCTGACCTGCAGGCTGGCTGTTCTCTCTGCACCTTGGCTCTGCTGGGTGCTGCATTCACTGGGGCCCCAGCATCCCTGGTCAGGGTGTTGCTGTTGCTTTTTGCAGGTGACCTGGCCTCCTCCTCGTTGTTCCAGGAATGGAGACATCTGACTGCCCAACATGTATGTAGCAGCTTCTTTGAGTAGCAGTCCCAGGGTATGACACCTGTGTGGCTTCCCTGATGCTTTTTGGCTGCCTGATACTTGCCCAGCCTGCCTGTACTGCCCTCTAGTCTCACCCCAAGCCAGAGAGATGAGCATTTCCTCACAACTCCATCACTATCACCCCACAACCCCATCGGATGTCCCAATGTCCCTGTCCCTCCTTGCTGAAAGGCTGGAGGACCACAGCTGCCTTTCCCCTTCCTGGGAGAGTTTAGGGTGCCAACAGTGGACCATGTGGGTGAGGCGCATGATCTGCTGCCTGTATTTACCCTTGTAGAGAGCAGCTACCTTGGACTCATCAGAGAAAGGACACACACAGGCTAGTCCCAGAGATTTCCCATTCCTCCCTGTAAGTGGAGTACACGATTCTCTCCCGTCCTTCTGCCTTTGCAGTTGGGGTCTGTGCTTGGCCAGGGGCGAGCTGGGATTGCTTCTCTCCCTGAGCAGCTTGGGAAGGGACCCAGGACACTGATAGTTTGAGGAAGATGAATGAAGAAGAAAGAAAACCCAAGCAGCTGTTGTGGAAACAGGGTTTATTTATACTGATGGGGAGGACGCGAGACGCAGGAGGGGCCTGGCACCAGAAAGGCATTTACAATGGTGAATATAGCAGGAAGCAGTGGCATGCAGTGGTTGCCCACCCAGGAGCAAAGAGCCACAGCTGGTGAATGGCCCCAGTCACAACTGGGATCCTCCAGTGCGGGGTCTGAGTGCCCAGGAGCAGAAAGTGCTGCTGGGGCCAGGAGACCTCTGCCTCTAGGATGGAGCAGGCAGGCTCAGCACAGAGGTTACTTCTAGCAGGAGTCTCACTGCTGCAGTGGTGACCCACAGCCTGGCCACTTTGTGACACCTGTGGAAGCACAGGACCCATCGAGCAGCTCAATCTACGGCCTTTGCTGTGGTACTAAACCATTCCATGCACTCACAGAGGGAAAAGACATGCAGGCACACACACACCATGATGCTCTGGTGCTAGGCAGATCCGGACTGGGGGTCCATCAGCCCATCTGAGGGAAGAGCATGAAGCCGCTGAAGACACTGTCTGCCTCAGAGCCACTGTAAATCATGCTGCCCCTGACTGGGTCGGTGCTGATGGAGACCTGGTCGCCCACAGCCAGGCTGAGTACACTGCTGCCTGAGTTCACCTGCAGGATGTTGCGGCTGTTGTAATCGCAGAAGCTGACCACGCGCTCCCTGTTCTTGGTGATGCTCAGGCAGAGGTCCCCGCTGGAGACCACCTGGTAGGCAAAGTAGTAAACCCCGGGGACCCGGCAGGTGAATTCCCCAGTCTGGGGACTGTAGGAGCTCTCCTGGTTGGTGATGACGTTGTCGAACACCACAGTCTTACCCGTAGATGGTGGGGACCTCCGTGAGGCAGAGAAGGCAGGACGTGGCTGCTCCAGGATATTGCCAGCTTTCCCTTTGCTCCCCTTTATCCCTGGCTCCCCTGGGGGCCCAGGGGGCCCAGGGGGGCCATGGTAGCCCCGGTTCCCTGGGATGCCAGGAGGCCCCGGCTCACCCGCATCCCCTTTGGGTCCCTGGATGCCCGTCCTCTGTGCTGATTTCCCTGCAGAGAGGTGGTGAGGAGGAGCAGGTCATGCACATCTGGCATCTCCTGAGCTGCTCCCACAGCCTGTGATGCTCCTCCCAAGAGGCTTGAGTCTCCCATGCTACCCACACCACATGTCCCCAGCTCCCTCTTACCTGGCTCTCCCATGTCACCCTTCTGCCCTGGCCTTCCATCGAGGCCAGGGATTCCCGGGAAGCCGTCCTTGCCATCTGGTGCCCTACACACGTCCTCCAGCAGGGCCATGCCCAGCACTGCTGCCAGGGTGCTGGTTGCCAACCAAAGCCTGGGCTCCATCCTGCCTCCCTACAATCACAGGGGTGGGAGAATTGGGGGTGGAGGCAAGCACACAGCAAACACACAGATGCACCTTGGACACAGACGTGCAAGTGCTCTCATCAGATGCATGCACAGATCTACAACACCACCCATGAGTTGTCCCATACAGATAGCCAGACACCACATGCAATAGTGAAAATAACTTAATGGAAGGATTTTGAGGCTGTTTCCTTGTGTGATCTGAAATCACTGACGTTACTGAAAATCTCTGACATGTCCCCATGTCAGGGCTGCGGAATTGGAAAGCCCAGGATGTGGAGCACAGCATAAACCCTTTGGTGCATGTCCTGGGGATGGGTGGTCACACATCAGATGCATGCAGAGGAGGCTGCTTCTTCCAGTGTTGGGGGAGTAAGCACTGATGTACGGCACAGTGGTGCCATACGATAGAGAGCACAAGTGAGGAAGGGGTGCAGAGAGACATGACAGAGGAGGGATAAACAGAATAGGGTAAACCATCAAAGGGCTCCAGATCTCCAACACACAGAGCTGGGAGAGAGGAGGGATGTCCTGAGCACACAGACCTACCCCTGAGGTACTCAATCCAGGACAAGCCTGCAGAGCCCAGTGATGTCCACAACCACATGGAGCAAGGACAAATTCCTGCAGACCCCTTCCACCCCTTCCCCACACATACCTCCACATCACCATCTCCCCCTTTTTCTGCTTTAAACCCTTGTGGAGGGGGGAAATGAAGAAAGGAGGGGGACAGGGAGCAAGGACTGGAAAGTGGTGGCAGAGGAAGCATGTGTTCCCCAGCTATTTGGGATGACTTACCTCCTTGATGGGGCTGAAGACAGACCAGTCTGAGCAGCAGCTCTGTTTGCTGGGAGCCCTTTCCTGGAAGCAATGGGGAAGGGGAGAGGGGGGTGGGGGGGGGAGTGGGGGGTGGGAAGAATGTACTTGCACACACTGTGGTTTGCCTGGTTAGGGAAGAGAAGTGCCAAGTTTTGCTTTCTCGGCACAAGAGAGAAACTTGTTCCCCTTCCTGTGCTCAACCAGCCAGGGAACAGCTTGGTCAGCAAAAGTGCAGGAGCGCAGGGTTCCCAGCCTGCCCAGCAGCACAGTTCCTGCAGCAGGGACTGGTGGTGACTGGGCACAAAGCGCCACAAAGGTGGAGGGTGCCCAAAGACATGCCACAGCCCTGTCACTGAAAGAGGGGACAGCTGATGTGAGCAGTAGGTGGCACGGCCATCCAAGGGATGCCCAGGGGTCACTTTTGATGGCTCCTGGTCTGGGTGATGGGCAGAGTGTGGCAGTCACTGGTACCCAGCTTTGTTATCACTGCTGCTGAGGGCTGACCCCTCTAGATGCCCACCTTGGCACAGCACCCTGACAGATCAGGGCTCTAGCAAAAGGATTTTCAGTGCCTGTGTGACTCAGCAGAGCCTCAGGCATCCTTGATGAAACATCTCCTTCCCATTGCCCTCGCTTCAGTGGTTCAGGGACCTTGTCTCAGCAGTAGAACAGGAGAAGATGGGAGTCTCTGGTACCAGTCCCCTTTGAGTGGCTGTGCCTTGCACCAGCCACATCTGAGCAACCCCAGGAGCAAAACCTTCACCCAGACCTGCAAAATGAAAAAGCCAGTGCCTCACACCACCAGGCTCAGGGAAGGTGCCCAGGGATGCACAATCAGCTCTGTCACTAAAGAGCCCCAAAATGCCACCAGTATCCAAGCTCCACTGTGGCAGGGAGCAGGGGGATAACACGTGCCACATTGACCCCAGCAGGTGAACGTCCTTGGAACCCTGGGGACCAGCCAGTCCACCCCATACAGCGTGTGGCTTAGGAGGGGCTTTCTGATTCACTGATCCATAGCCACCTGGAGTATCCTTTCAGAAGTCCTGCGGCAGCTGCACTGACCTTCATGAGAAAGAGGTGCCGGGGTCCCCAAATCAAATGCAGCAACAGCTAAAGCTCAGAGGAGGATGCTCAAGGAAAGAGGATGATGTGTGGGCAGTGGACCAGGGTGGTCCCAAAGCCAAGGGGGGCTGACAAATGCTCTGTTCCCCTGACCGCTGCCTCTAAGCCATTCCAATGAAGGTGTTGCATCATTTCCAAAACAGCTGGAAAAGGGAATGACTAGTGTGAAACCAAAAATCAGCCCAGAGATCCTTGCCAGACAAAACTTCACTCACCAGTGCACCTCCATTAATAATTACCTTTGGAGATCTGTCACTAAGCTGGTCGTTAATTCATTGAATATATGTCCTCTTAATGCAATATAATACACATTTTTAATCAAAATGTCACCCTGTAATAAATCAGATGCCCAGAAGAAATGCAATTTTATTTTATCAGCAGAGTTCCTCTATCAACCAGACCTGTAGTCACGTCAAGAAAAGATGACAGGTGAGTTTGAAAAGACCTACCTTCCACAAAACGGTGTTTCTGGACAGTAATTGTATTTCTGCCCTATTGCCCTTTCTTAACATACAGCCAAAATGAGACCACTCCATCATTTCATCCTGGATTGAGTGATAGCTGCGTCCTAGTGCTCCTGTGTCCTTTGTCCCTGACTGTCCCCTTAACTTCATTTAAATGCTGAATTACAGGGGGCTGGTAACTGGTTTCCAGCATCTCCTGGAAGCTGGTGTTGGTCCAGGCAGCACCTCCTCCAGGTCTTTGGGACTCTTGAGCAGTGCTTAGCCCCACTCGCTTGACTTTCAGTGTTGCTGCGTTCAAGCCGAGCCTTCCTCTCCCATCTCCTGAGCATCTCCCCCTCCTCCTCCTGATCTGCAGCTGGGACATCCGCGGCTCCAGGGGACGGCTGGCTGCGGGGGAGCCGTGGATGGGCATCACACGGTGCCATCCCGGAGGCGCCTGCAGACCACACCTGCCCCCGCGAAAATACCTCCAACCCGGCCCACTCCGCCTTCCCCTTCCCATCGGGCGCGTCTCCGGGAGCGGGAGGAGGCCGGAGGACACGGCGAGGGCCGTGGCACAGGCAGCGAGGTGACAGGCCACGAGATGGCACTGCTGCCTCAGCCCTGCTGCTGTCACCCCCGCGGCAGGGATCGGCTGCCTCCTCCAAAAGCGAGCGTGGGGGATGCCCCGCCGCAGAGCGAGCCCACGGGCACCTCTGCCTCGGCACCCAGCCATCACGCGTCGTGAGCCGGAACAACCCAGCTTCCCTCCTGCAAACGGCCCCAGTGAGGCCACAGGCGCCCTTCCCCCAGTCTGGCACCCCCCTGAGAACAGGGGACAAGAGGGGGTTCCTCGGTGAGGACCAAGCCATAGTGGAAGGTGCGAGGCGGCGTGAAAGCCTGGCAGGTTATCCCTGCTGATATAGGTCCAGCAGCATCCCACCAGCAAACTCTGGCATGGAGAAGGGGCAAGGACGATGGAGGACACCCCAGATGACACGAAACGGGTCCAAGCTCAAGACACAGGGGAAGGTGGATGTACAGTGGAGTAGCTAGAGGACGCAGATGCTCTGCAGAGCCCCAGGCAACATCAAAACCAGCCCCGAGGAGGATAGCCCTGGGTCTGGGGGAACCTGACCATTCTGGTGAGCAGCCACATCATTTAGGGCACCTGTCACAGCCTCCTGGCACTGCTGCAGCCCCAGGACCAGACTCGCTCCAGATGGATATTACCCTGAGCAACCAGGATGGGCCATGGGGCAGCTCCCTCAACTCTTTGCTGCCCTCCCATCTGGTGGTGCCAGGCAAAGATGGGTCAGTGCCATCTCAGCCTCATACCCCTTCGTGGAAGGAAAGTGACCCCCACAAAGCCTCCTCCCTGCATCACCAGTGCCCGCAGGAGCACAGGAGCTGCCTGACAGCAAACAGTGAGAGACGCTCCTCCACTGCCTTCTGTGCTGGGGATCCCCTGGGGTGCTGTGCGGTGACAGGCAGGAGCTGACAGAGAAGGAAAAATCAAGCAGCTAGCACCTACCTGTCACTGTACAGGAGACAGCGACAAAGGCAGGTAGTGGGAGATCAGCAGTACTGGCAGGTACAGCACACACCTCTGCTGCCAGTCACTAGCATCTCAGTATGCCACCTGCACCCACCGGGAGGTCAGGGCAGCTCAGACCATCCGTGCTTCTGCAGTCACTGGTGGCTTGATGATGCCCAAATAACTACACAAACTGATTTTGCAGCTGTTGAGCTGGCCTGTCCCCAAATGCTCAGCCCACGTTGCTGACCACCAGATAAACTTCCTGTGCAACGTGAATGATGGTCGTTTGAATTCTGAAGTCCCCCGTGCTTTGATCAACAAAACAAGAAGCTGGGATGGGTCAGGTGCCCTAGAAGGATTTCCTGAGATGTCAGCTGAAAATCAAGCAACAAGGCCACTTGTCATGCAATGTCTAAAATTTTTTAATTGCTGTGGCAGGGGATGTGTTATTCCTATACAGTTGCTTATACAGAGCATGCATGAGGAGCAAAGGTAGGCATGGGGTTTAAAAGTCAGAATTTCACACTCCAGCCCTTGCTCACTGTCTCCTGGCATTGACACGCACCCCTGTTGCTCTCATGGGATGACAGCAGCTAAATGAGTGCCGAGCAGCCCTGGACAATACTGGGAATGCTTGTCCCATCCCTCCTCCTCTTGCTCTCTGTTAAGGAAGTCAGGGCTGAGATGTGCCTGGCTGTACTGATGTTGCTCTGAAGCTGGTTCCCCCAGGTGAGAAGAGCAAACAGAGGAAGCAGAAGGCTTCTGTGAATTGGTAAGATATGGCCTGTGGCCAAGGGCTACTCACACCGGTCTCTAAAGAGGGCTGGTTAGCCTAGTATGGTGAAAAGTATGCGGACACAGGACTATGGACTGCAAGGAGTCTGATCTGTCGTATGGGATACCGATTTGCTTGCCACCACAGCTCATGTTTGGCTTCTTCCCACTACTCAGGGCTCCATCAGAAGTCAAAAGATGCAACCAGGATGCAGTTCTGTCCATCTCAAAGTCGGTAAGAGAGATCACTCAAGGTAAGTAAAAGAGAGGAAAGTGCCATAAGCCTTCCTACAGGCAACAGGCAGTGCGGCTAGGTTGAGGAGCAGGGAGCCAACCAGGACCTCTGCAAAGCTAGGGCAGAAGTGCCTGTACCACTCCATGGCAGGGCATTCCTGGACTGAAGTCCAGACAAGAGAAAAGTGGTTGTCAGCACAGTGCTGCAAATCCCAGCAGGGCTGCTGAGAGGACCTCTGGGATCTCCTGTCCAGCCCCTTGCTCACGGCAGGACTATTCCCAACAGTAGATCAGGGTGGCTGTGGCTTTTCCTACCTAAGTCTTGAAACCCACCCAGGACAGAGATCTCCCATCGCTCTGGGCACCTGTTTCAGGACTGTACCATGCTCAGGTGAAGAAGTATGTCCCCCTCTCTGACTGGGGACCACCATGTGCTCATTTATAGCAGTGCTGTGCTTTCCACTGGGCTGAGATGACCAGCAAGGACTCTTCCTGCACCCTATGCACAGCCAAATCCTGTTGCCTGCCACAGCATCACGTGCCCTTCCCAAGCTAACCTCCATGCCATGGTCTGATTTCCCCAAAATAACACCTCGAAAATGGAGCAGAAGTTCCCTGCAGGCGAGCGTTCGTGTTAACAGGGTCAGTGCCAGCTGGGGGTCAGTGCCGGCTGGAGACTGCTGCAACTTATGTCTATTACAACTCGCTTTCCACAGTGGCTTCTCCAGGAACTCAGCTTCCCTCTAACTGACCTTGGCTGTCGGATCCATCCCAAGTTGCAAACTCGCTTCTCACGTCCAGTCAATTTGGAGGGCTTCTGATTGCTGCTCTGGAGGCTTTGATTGCTTCTGGCCAGCGGGACCCCAGCGGGTGCCTCGCAGACACCATTAGCCAACCTTTGGCTTAGCAAATTTGCCAAGGAATATCCCAGCCACGCTGCAGCAACGCTGTGCAGAGCCAGGCCTGAAGTT